AGCACACAGAGTCTCAATAAGATTGTGAATGAAAAGACAGGTAAAGGATCCTCCGCCACCAACTTGAGCCCGCCCACGCAAGACGGTGTTGTAATGAGTGGTGCTCTAGGCACGTCATCACCCTCCTCTAGCCTTTCTATGGCAGAACGGCTGGGCATCAAGTCACCCGCCAACGACGAAGAAGTTCAGAAGCAGCGAGAAAAGACTGCGTAAGTGGATGTTGTTCCCGTACAAAAGTTGATATTGACTTGAGATTCAGCGATCTCTTGACAAAGGAAGTCTCTGGCATCAGCCTAGACAAGTCGAGCGGCACCTCCTCGAAAACAGAAACACCCACCGAGAAGATTGCGGAAGATGTTTCCCTCGAGACGATTTCAGTCAAGATTGCCGATCTTGGCAATGCCTGCTGGGTCGGCCACCACTTTACCAACGATATTCAGACCCGGCAGTACCGATCGCCCGAAGTCATTTTGGGTGGGAAATGGGGCGCCAGCACCGATGTCTGGAGTATGGCCGCAATGGTGCGTCTCTATACGTTAGAAGCAAGCCAAGACCATGTGCTAACATGTCTCAGGTCTTTGAACTGATAACAGGCGACTACCTTTTTGATCCACAGTCCGGCACAAAGTACGGCAAAGACGACGACCACATTGCGCAAATCATCGAACTCCTCGGTGCCTTCCCTAAATCTCTCTGCATGTCCGGCAAATGGTCGCAAGAAATTTTCAACCGCAAAGGCGAGCTGCGCAACATCCACCGGTTACGCCACTGGGCACTTCCAGACGTGCTACATGAAAAGTATCATTTTAACAGCGAAGATAGCAAGAAAGTCGCGGATTTTCTACTCCCCATGCTGGAGCTTTTACCGGTGGATCGGGCGAACGCGGGAGGCATGGCAGGACATGAGTTTTTGAAGGACACGAAGGGCATGGAGGAGGTGGCGCTGGGGATCCCGGTCGGGAGCAAAGGGGAGGGGATCGAGGGGTGGGCGACTGAGGTGAAGAAGACGCGGTAATGGCGGGGCTCTGTGTGGGAGGGAAGGGGGGATAAGTGACGACGGGCAGGGTTCTTGTTGGTAGTTTGGTTGTGCATGACTGACGATGGGGGCCACCTGGATGAACATGAAGTAGGTACAGCATAGCGGCAAGAGGTCGGCTTTTTCGGGAGTTGGCGTCGGAATCATCTCAGCCATTGATTCGAGATCACGAACTTCTTGCTCTTTAGCTTGGTGTTGCTGTTGTTAATGTGCTTCTCTTTAGTGCTTATTATTATTCTGCATCATTCGCTTTTATTAGATTGCGATTGAGATGAGCGTATTATTAGTGTCGTAGTGGAGCTTTTGACGATTTGTGATGGAAATAACGATAAAGTGGAAAGAAGGGCGCGATTGATGTACATAGTCAATGGGTTGTGTATGCCATGAATAGACCCTTGGAGCCTGGAAGCACTTGACAAAGAGTGCGAAAGAGAATAGTCGGGACTCATCGGTCGTTGCCTGGGAGCATGGGGTGCCGAAGACGAGGCCCTAAAATAGAAGGCTGCGTGACCCAATAATGTTAGGGTGATCAAATTGTGCTCGTAAACACCCAGAATCTACCTAGGTACCAGTCAGCCGGAAACGAGCCATAGCAGAATTGGCGATATCAGAAAGGCATTCCAAAAGACGTGTGAAGCATCGCGGTCAAAAACCAGCCTCACGGTGTTTGCCAGGAGGACGGGACAGCTAAAACAGGGCCGCGTTTGAGGCCCTTGCGAAGAATCCCGGATGACGTTTGAAGACAACGTGGGGTGCTGGCCTTGGCAGGTAGGACACTCCGCGTGTTCCTACGGACCGCAGTTGAATGCATTCTAATAGTGTCATGATTCATCCATTGCGACAGCCTACATGTCGAGTCGATGGATAGCGCGCTCAACATCTCCGCAGTGGCAGTAACGCAGCTCCCAACTCCCTAACACTTATCCGACAACCTTCATCGTAGCCCTATGCCTCTGCTTCCCTCTCCCGACGACGACTGCGATGCCTGCGCTCCCGACTGGGCCGTCAAACGAAGGCCGGCTGCGATAGCCATCTCCGCACTCCCGTTTGTGCTTACCTTCCTCATCGTTGCCGTCGCCGTGTCGCATAAGCTTTTCCCGCTGCTTTCCGGACATGCGCAGCTGAAGAGTCACCATGACGGCGCGCAGCTGCCGGGCTTCGCGTGGCGCGAGAAGACGTCGATACTCAAGAAACTGCGCTTAACGGCAAGGACGCTCGCGAGCGCTACCTTTTCTACAAATATTGCCCTGTCCGCCGTCCTCGTCGAGCTGATCCTATGTGAGATCTCGAATACCGTCAACCCTGCAACACGAGCTTTGGCGCTCAAGATTACGTTGCCGTTGTTGCTGTTCCTCCTCATTATTGCTACGCCTGCGCTCATCATACATTCGGTGATCTCGAACGCGGGATGGGAACTTGGTGGATCGCGGAAAGGCCAGCGGAGGGTGGCGTGGGCGTTGGAACTTGGAGGTCTTGCGACGTGGCTGGCTGGCTTTTGGTATATTGGGAAAGGACTGCTGGGGACGTATCTGCATGAGCAGTCGTACATACATGAGCACACTTTCAGCGAGGGGTGTCTCGAGCGAATTGGCGTCATTGGGATCAGCTTGATGGCTTCGCTTGCGGGTTTCGCGGCTGTCAGCTCTCTGTGGCAGACCTTTGGCGTCAAATATCGCCCAGTAAGTTCTCTGTTGTATCGTTTGGTGATTTCGCATCTAACGGGACCAGGTGACCGAGTCGGACATTGCGCGGAAGCAAGCTGGTGTAGATGCGACCAACGACATGCTTCTAGCGAAAGAAAGCCGATTACGCGCTGTGCAACGGAAGCTCTCGGACACACCGCAAGAGGGCTTTATGACTCGTATGGTAGGTAGCATACGGGGCAATCCAGACGTCCAAGAACGAAACACCCTCCAACTCGAAATCAAAGGGCTCGAAACTATGCGCACAAGCCTTCAAAACTCACTCACAGTTCTCCAATCCAGACGCCAGTCACAACTACGCTCTCACACTGCATATGGCCGCCTCCTCAATCTGTTCTCTTTCGTGTTCTCGCTCTACTGCTTCTACCGCATCACCGCAACGACCTTTACCACCCTAAGGCGCTTCTCCTCACCGAATACCAGCTTCGCCAGTACAGATCCAATCAACAACTTCCTAGCACTTCTAGCAAAGCACTGGGATCCCACCATCGACCGCGCAGCATGGAGTCGCACGATCTCCTTCGCCCTTTCCGGCATCATGCTCCTCGCGTCCTTCAATAGCGTCGTCCAAACATTTTTCCTCTTCGCCCGCGTCCTCCCCGGCGTCCTCCACCACGCGCGTGCTAATTTCGCGCTCCTCATCTCGCAAATTGCCGCAACGTACGTTATCAGCTCTGCCCTTCTCCTACGGAGTAACCTGCCGGTGGAAATGAAGAGCGCGATATCTGATGCATTGGGAGCACCGCTTGAGCCCGCTTTTACGGAGAGATGGTTTGAGGGGTGGTTTTTGTTGGCGAGCGCAGTTACGGCGTTTGGGCTTTGGGCGGGGAAGAGGTTGAAGGGGCAAGGGTGGGATGACGATGATGAACTTGGGGGTGGGGATCTCGAGATGGGGAAGCTGAATTGATGACTGCATGTATCATTATTGTATCTATGTTTCTGTAGCATTCGTAGACGGCATATCATATACACGGCATTGCGTCTCGAACACAAGCATTGGGCTAAATTTCCATGCATCCACAAATGCACTCCCGCATCCCGCGCGTGATTGACCACACGCCTTCTACTACATGTGCATATTCCCTCGGGCAGCAATGCCGGAGACGCATATTGCTCGCTGTTGCATCAGTATTCGTCAGCGCAGTGTTGATCAGGGTTGACGTCGATGCTTCCCGATCGGGCAGTGCTAGGGTTGTTTGCATTATGACGTCGGTCGTGGGGCGAGTCCTCAATGAAAAGCGCGGGGCTCGCGCGACTTTTGTTGAATCTACATCACGAAAGGCTCTGAAACCGAGTCTTATATCTACAAGCTACAACAAATTGTGAGTGCCATGTAGAGATGGAAGACTTGTGAGACGAGTTCTAACACCGAGCAGACTCCAAACCCAAAACTACCCACCGAACTCGTACGCCCCTGTCCAACGCCCCTCCAACCCTCCTACCTCTTCCTCTTCTACCCCCAACACCCATCTAACCCACCACCAGAGCAATCATGTCCGCCCCCAATGCAGGCCGCCAATCCCCCGACCCCGAGCACCAATCCGGCGCCCAATCTGGCGTCACAGCCTCCAACGTCAACGACCAGGGTGGCGCCCCCTCGCAGGGCGACTCCAAGGAGAACTCGGACAATACCAAGGGCGGTTTGAGTTCGAACCCTGTGCATCCGCTGGAGAAGCACGCGGAGGAGAAGACGAGTAAGAAATGAGAGGAGAGTGGAGGGAGTTCGTGTGATAGAGGGATGGGGAGACCCGAGTCAGGAACGGGTTCTGTATAAATCATGCATTGTATGGCTATGGCTGCGAAAGCCTGATGAGCTTGCTACTGCCGTGAGGTTGCGAGTAGCACCTCAATGAAATGAATATGAATCTTGACTGACGTCATTCTCCTGCTCTCGCTGTTCCTTTCTGAGTTGTGAAGGTGAATGCGTGCGTGATACGCGTCGTGATCCCGTTCCTCTTCAAAATTCAAGAACCTACTTGACTGATGGATCTAGAGTCTGCTCGTCCTTCCAAGCTCCATGATACGTGGTACTTCGTGACGATAGTCTCGACTTGCTCCCCTGAGCCCTACAATGCAAATTAGCCGAGCGTGCCAACGTCTTGCCCACCCACATGCAACACGACCCCTCCATCCCGCCCCACTTCGCGCGCCAAAATGCCGCCATAATCGAAACAAATGCCACGAGTCTGGCCTCATGACCCGCTTTGATTTTCATTACAGTATAGGTATTAACTAAAGCTCCGAAATGTCATAAAAACAACGGGCGGCTGGTCTAGGGGTATGATGTAGGTTGTCATTAATTCCTTGTCTCTTACCAATTGCTAATCATGAGTAGTTTCGCTTCGCATCTTTCAGATCGTATGTGAAAGGTCGTGGGTTCAATTCCCACGTCGTCCAATTTTTTGTTTTTGTGGTTGACCGCGAAGGGCCCGTCATTTTTTGCACGCTTGGGGCGATTGGTTCATTTTTCTTTTGGCCGGACGTGAAAGCAAAGCAAGACTTCTATTTCAGTGCAAAGAGTCTCGGGCCGCTCCTTATAAGCGTATAGGGTAGGCTGTGTTCTACGCAATTCCCTATTTAAAGCATACCTCTTGTGGTAAGTAATTCTCAGGAAATAGGCATCCCTCCCCCTTTCTCCCTCCGCTTATCGCCATCTATCTACCTAGGGTTGCTTGGCATATAGGATATAAAACGGATCCTGGATACCCTTAGATATCTAAGAGCAGAAAGCTAAATAAAAATTGACATGCTTATAGTAGGTTTAGTTCTTCAACTTGGAGCATAATTAAGATTCTTGAAGAGCTCTTGGGTGGTAACTTGTGCGGAGTGAAAGACGGGTAGAGTAAGGTTATGGTGTTGCTAATTATACGTAGAAAACCGTTGCCAGACTACCGTCAAGGCACTAAGAAGGGTAGGCTTCTTCCTAAACTTCATAGCATGCCTCTCTTTGAATTAAATCATGCGCTTGTAGAGCCCGTCCCACAGCAACTGCACTGAAGTCTCCCAAGGGGAAAGGCTCCCGATTCCCTCGACTCCAGCATCCAGCTCAAGCTGAGTCTAGAGCATAGACACATCCGACCGCACGTATGCATTCTCCATACAAGTATCCGACTGCGCATCCACATTCTCCATATCAGCATTGGACTGCACATCGTCGTTCTCCAATAAAGCCTCCGACTGCACATCCTTCTTCACCATATAAGCCTCCGGCCCCCTAACAAACTTTTGTTGGCTTCCATCACGGAGTCTGCCGAGCAGGGCCGTCATAGCTTCAGAATGCTTCTTCAGCACCTCCTCCCACTCGGCTGTGGGTCCTTGCACGCGCTCTCGTCTGCTGAAATGTTCGGACATTAAGTCGAAGTAGAGCCATCGAAGATAGGATCCGGGCGGACTATTGGCGCATGCATAGTCTACCTCCCTCGATGTCAGGGGCTGGGGCCGGTGGACGTCGTTGTGAATACGGTAGAGGTGGCCCATTGCGTGGTCCTGGAATTCGGGCGTCTTCAGCTTAGCTCCAAGCACCCAAGCAGCTGCATGCTCAATGCTCTCGTCCCAAACAGGGTGCACAGCGGTGTAGCCTTCATAGTCTGTTGTCCTGTGTCAGCATGCGTCAATGTACCGGCAGCGGCGACATACATAGCCATTCAACGAAGAAGGCGAAGATGATCGGGTCGTCTGATGCAAGTTCGATGCGTGGTTGTCCAGGTTCGCCCATCGTGATGTCGCACGCCTCCCTGAAGAAGGACGAGCGGTGTGACAGCAGGTTTTTCGGAAGCCACCAAACTCGGCGCTTGCCAGAAGGAGGCGTAGAATCGTTACCGACAACAACCTCTATGGCTGGGCCTGCTAACCTAAGACTTGTAAGCACCTCTGTAGCTGAAAAGTTCTGACAGATATCCGTCAAAGCATTGGGCGCGCTACTAGCAGAGCCTTGTCCACTTACAGATTTATAGACTCGCGAGTCTTCCTTGCAGAAATTTCGAAGCAGGGAGAGGGAGGTGACTCGACCTTGTTATGAAAAGGTACGACAGCCATGGTGAGGTCCTCCTTTGGACTTGAAGCCAGATCAGAGACGGTCCCATCCCGGTGTGAGACACTCTTGTTCTCTGGCGGCGGCGATGAGGTGGAGTCGTTATTGGGGGTATTGCTCCTGGTACTACACTCTGCGGTCAAAGCCGGGACAGTGTCTATAACCGATACGGTAGCTGCAGGCATAACCTTCATCAAGCTTCCATCTTGGGAGGAAACATGTTTCTTTAGTGGCGGCATAGAAACAGGGCTATTGGCGGGGGAAATGAGCTCAGCGGGACGCTTTCTGGACAACGACGCAGCTTCACCGGCTGGGGCAGCATTGGTGGTCGATGGCGGGTCGAATACAGGTAGCGGTGGATCTTCCAGGGTCCCAAAGTTCTCAACGGCGGCGACTTCGGAGACATCGGGAGACCGAACTCGACTCACACTCACCCCTTCCCGTCCGCGAGAACTGGTCTGCGGTCGTCCGTTCTTAGGCCGGCTTGCCACTGGCGCGTTCTGCACTGCTCTGCTTGACGGATTCCGTGGTTGAAAATCGCCTGCACCCGCCCGCTTTGGCTGGCGAGGGCCGGTGCGATTGTTCTGACTGCCCTTTTGCGCTTGCTTGTTCACTTGGGGGTAGTCATGCTCTTGGTGGCCCACCTCTCCGCAGCCGGGACAGTTGGGAGAGTCTGGACAGTCGCTTGCCCGGTGACCCCCCTCGCCGCAAGTCCAGCAGCGTGGATTAAAAGACCGAGTCTGCTCTTCTTTCGAATCGGGGCTCCACGAGCGGCCTTCTGCATTTCCGTATCGCCGTTTTTCATGCTCATTTCGCCCACCTGGAATGTAATTCCGCTTCGTATAAGCCCTGTACGATGGTTCTTTGTCGAATACGTGATTAAGAGTCATAGGGGGGGCGCCTCCATCCTCCAGTCGAAGGGTCGGTTGGTTTCGCTGAGGTGGCAGTCCGGCGTAAAACTGCTTGAGCTCTTCGGGTGTGGTAGGCGCGTTGATTGCTCCCGTGTCGTTTTGAAGCCCAGCTTCCGCGGTCCTGTTATTTTCACGGTTCCCGCCACGGCCCTGTACATCGCCTCCTTCACCTCCATGCCTGCGGATGTCGCCGCGACCGCGTGAGCCCGACATTGCATTACGTCCTCCACTCGGGTCACAGCTCCAGTGTCAGCATATAAGGGTACGCTGTATTGATGGAAGACTCGAGTCGCTTTGCAGCGAGCGTGCCATAAGGCGTCTGACCTAGTTAACCTAGCATCTGAACACATACCTCATATTTTCGCAAACGTGCGTGTAGTGTTTAGCTTGTTGGTGTTTTGGTGGGAGGGAGTAAAGCCGTGTTTGGGTCGGCTAAGGTCAGGGCTGCAATGTATGGGAGGCGCGCGTTTGTATGTGATGCCATGGCGCCGAATGGAAGGCGGCATTAGGTAGCGACGAGGTCGCGTGATGCTAGTCCGCGGTGAAGATGGAAGAGCAAGACGACTAAGATTGCGACTTACCAGTGTGGACTGATTGGTCGGTCTGCTGGGCGTGAGAGTGGACTGAGACAGGAAATTAGGATACAACGGGTTGCGTGGATGCGCGCGAGCCGGGAAAGGAGAAGTGGAGACATTACCTGAACGCGGTATGGGTCAAAGATAGCGAAAATGAGGGACGATGGCTCTAAGAATGTGCCCTACCATCGCAGGCGAGTAACAGAATATGACACCAAACTCTACGATGGTATTTCAGAATTCATCGTAGGACAATGAAAATGACACCAACCCCCGCAATTTCACTGCATACACCCCATAGGAGTACTGTCAGATTCTATTTCCGCCTTCTATGCCCCCTCCTATCCCTTCTCCACAACAACCGCATCCTTCTTTGCCGGCCGTTCTCCAAAGATATCACTCCCGACGCGCACTTCCGTGCTCCCCATCTTAATTGCGCCCTCAAAATCCGAGCTCATTCCCATACTCAATTCCAACCTGTCCTCCTCCCATCCCAGCCCCTCGGCCACCTTCTCTCTGACCTCCTTCAGCGCCACAAAATCTTCGTTCTCCGTCTCCGGCGTCGTAGCCTTACTCCGCGCAATAGCCCCAATAGTCATCAACCCGATCAACTCAAGGTGTGGACACCTCTCCACAACATGTTTACACAACGCCAACGCATCCCCAGGCTCGACCCCACTCTTACTCTCCTCCCCGCTGGTGTTGACCTGCACCATAACCCTCAGCTTCTCCACCTTGTCATCTTTCTCGAGCAAGGCCTTGCGGCCTTTCTCCAACTCGTTACACTTCTTCTCACTATCCACACTACTCACACACCACAAATTCGGCACCTGCTCTGCCAGTTGCTTGCACTTATTCGACTGTAAACCACCGATGAAGTGCCATCGTATCGATCGGGGGAGGAGCCGCGACTTCTCGAGGAGTTCTTGGACGTAGTTTTCGCCGAAGTGGGTGTGTAGCGGTTGTTGTTCTTGCTGGGATGGGCGGTGGAGTGCGAGGATGTCGGTTGCGGGTTTGAGTTTGGAGACGGCTATGAGGCGGATCTGGGGTTGGTGGCGTCAGTGGGACGGAAGATTGTAGGCGGGATGGCGACGTGGTGTACATTTCTGTTTGATTTGTTGGCGGCATTGATGCGGGAGGTTATGCTGGCGAGGTTTTCGGCTAGCTGTTTTGCGCGTTGGGGGTTTATTTGCATTTCGTCGGCCATTGTCGAAGTGGTGGTGTTTGGCGATGACGACGAGAGTCGGAGGTCATGGTGCAGGCTCAGCCCTATGGGTGATGATTGCTTGGCATGCAACTCGGGACTTTCTCTGGTCGAATGAACATTCCAAGACAAGGATCAGCATAGAAGGACTAAAGGAATGTCTGCTGGGACGTAATTGTCTAGCACGCGGTGAGTTACCGGGACATCGAGTTCACAGCGTCGACATAGAGCCAAGTCGAACAATCACAATGACGGACCATGTATCAGGACATCTATTTGAGTGGTCCACGAACAAGACATTGGAACCGAATAAACCCATTTTGAAGTCTTTCGCTAGTCTCGCGTCCATTCGGAAGCAAGAGCCGCTACTCGACCGTCTCTAAATTATAGACACCCAAACCCGGACCCCAACATGTAGATCTCATCCGCAAATATGCTGCAGGGTCTGCAAGCTATGCACGGAAAACCCTTTCATATAATACCAGAATACATTAAGAAAAGAGAAACAATGCTGGAATGTCCTCATGCACCGTCCTCCCTAAACCGTAGGAAATTCATTACCATGTATCATTACTATACACGTGCACGCGTCTAATCCGCTCACGGTCGGAAAGGGCGCTGCTGCTGCTCTGGGGAAGTAGCTCGGTACGGGTTGTTCGACGCGTTGGAAGGCGAGG